CGGAACTGTTATATTGACTAAACGTGACGCACGTGCAAATTCTCCTCCCCCTTCATATCGGTCACAATCATTTTAATTTATACTTTACCTTCGCAGTTTATATAAACCACACATCTCAGATATTTCAACAGTATAGTCTATCTTTATTATTATTTATTATGAATTACCAAACTTCAACAACATAAGGGCAGATCCTTTTAGCGCTGCTTATGACACTGTGAAATGACACTCGAGTGATCAAGTATTCCAATGTATATAAAAAAGCTTTTATTCGATTCCTCTGTCCTCCTTTCCTTTCCTCGCTTCCTTCCCTCACGTCCTACAGGGGGTGGAGCTGAGACGCAAGGAAAGGAAGCAAGGAAAGGAAACGAGGATGCACAAATAAGAAATGAGAAGCACCCCTTGACTTCAAATGCCCGCTCTTTTGCAAAGCTACCTGCGTCACTCCAGTCGCTCTCCAGTGACGTCGCTGCGGTAAAGCATGTTGTGATTCTCGCAAGATTTGTCAGGGGCGCTCCTCTCAAACTTGCATTGCTGGTTTATCCAACAGCATCCCTCCCAAGCTTTACTACCAGGATGATTCGCCCTACTATGAGTTTGTTTACCACCGAAATAACTTTGAAGCTGTTATATTAAGGTACAATTCTTGCATAATGTGCCTTTAATAAAAAACAACGACAGTTATACAGAAGTTAGTAAATCACTGTCTTACCGTCAAACAGATCTTATGGACCGGATCGCTGGTCTCTTCACTCACTGCGTTCTTGCGTGTGCAGGTGTAGGAGTTTTCTGGATTTCCTTCATTTCTCTGTACTGTAATGGACTCTTTATTTGATTGGTATGCCAGACCTTCTCCAGCAGAATTACTCCAGGTAATAGTTCCATCGTAATTCTTGCAGGATAAATACACAACTTCAGCATTTACCTCCTCCACTTCTATAACAGGTTTGGGGACCCGATCTGTGAAAAAACAATGAAAAATGCATGCTAAGTCTAAAACACATGATAATACTAATACAGTCATTTGATCATACAACTAATGCATGATAGTACCTTTTTTCAGTGTGATAGATATTATGTTATTATAAATTTAAACAGAGACAAAATAAATACTGATATAAAATATGGAACAGGCTGAGGATCACTATTTATACAAATAAACAAAAAATCATTATAATAAAGTAACGTATTTCAATAATCAACATCAACTCACCCATAACAGTCAAGGTGAATTTTTGTTCCTGCTCTTTACCGCTGACGTCAATGGTATAAACTCCAGTGTGTTCAACTGTTAAATTAGTGATAGTGATTTGTCCAGTCACTTTATTAAGACTCGTGATGCCTTTGAATCTCGGATTCGGGATTGTAGTTTCTTCTCCGTCTTCCCATTCAATCGCCTTAACAGTTGATCCGGGTGTTACGTGTTTCCATGTGAGGCTGGTGACAGGAGAACCAATGTTGTCTAGTTTAAAAGAAACTTGATCACCCACTGCTCTCATCTCCCCTTCACCTAAAAATCAAAATATGAGAGAGTATGTTAGTCAACATTCAACAAACAAACAGTAACAGAAAAATAAAAATTGAATGAGATCATAATACAAATAACGTAAAAGCTTTACATTTAGACCTAGTGCATTTTGCTTTACTAATTTCCAACCCAATACTAACTCAATTTAATGTTGCATATCTATTTTTGGTTTAATTTTAGCCCATTTCTGTTTTTTTATTATTCCACATAATCAAACAAAGATTATCAATAAAGGCCACATTTGGTGGTAATCTTTGTCTATTCAAATAAAAAGTACATATTTTTTCGGAAAAATAAACTTTCTTGGCTAAGCGTTGCAGAGGAAGTCAATACAAAACATTCAATGGTCACCATTAAACTCCAAAAACGTCATATAACCATTCCAGTAACTCCGAAGCTGTTCAGTTTATCTAAAAAACATAGTTCCTCTTTAACTGTTGTGCTAGTTACTTATAGTTATAGTTACTCATAAGATTACTAAAAAAGTATTCTTATTACTTATCCTGCAATATTGCGTTACCCTCAACACTGTAAAGCTAAACTGCTTCAGGGTCAACAAAAAAGATGCTGCGCCATCTTCATAAAACTATATATATATATAAAATTCAACTTCAAGAAGTTTAAACTTCACTTACCTGAAGTAGCTTCAGTGGTGATGAACACAACAATGGCGACCATCAAGTATTGATGTGACATTTTTAATAGACAAAGTACACATTAATGCACTTTAGCTCAGAATGTTCAAGACAAGAACAGAGAATTGAGGAAGTGCAAGAAAAAGAAACCACAAACATGCAGTATTGAGTTGATCTCACACTTTTAAACTGCATGTTTATGTTAATACTTTCCTAAAGACACACACATCTCCATATGATTTGAAATGTTGTTTTAAAAATGTCTTAACAAATCTTACATTTGACTTAGGATTTCATTCAATTCAATTTTATCCGGGCCAAGGAAGCGATGAGGCAGGAATACAGGCTGAAGAAGATTATTGTGCCAAATGATTATTGTAGGTTTAGGATTAGTTTTGGGTAGTTGGTTGGGATTAGGCAATCAGGTACTAACTTGAAATCCAGCACAACACCGGTGAGGAAAATGAAGACTCGAGGGTGGACTTGGGTGGGAACTGGATCCGCACACCACAGATTGATCCGCTCCAGATCCGCTCCAGGCTCTGAGATGGACTGACCCGTATGCGTCAGTATGGGCTATGTGCACAACCGTAGTTTCGAACTTCCGCTTTTGTCCAGAAGTCGGCGTATCAGTTTCCGGTCTACGACTGGTCATCCGCATCCACTAATAAACAAACAAGATGAGTGCTGCTGTTGTACGAAAAAAAGAGTTTTTAAACGCATCTAAGTTTCTCAGAACTGTAGAGGATCTAATGTCCGTTTCACACCCGTTTGCAGTGTGTTGCGGTGCAGGAGCGTGCTGTTAGTGCGTTCACATATTATGATGCGTTTGCACAGTGAATAACTGATCCGCGGCTGTACAACAAACACACTTAATATTTTTATTTAAAGTCCAGAAGTTATGCTGCAACTTATTTTCAAAAACAAAAAGTTATGTCAGCATTGCGATTCTTTGTATGCACGTTTAAACACAATTTAAACAATGTAAGTTAGGGCTATTACTCCATGCATTAAGTTGCTCAAGCAAGTGGTCAAATATTTCCTATATTAAAATCGCAAATAATTTAAATTAAAACTTGAAATTGACAAAAACAGCCGACTTGCCTTTTCTTTTGCATCTTAATTTTAAAACAATAGATCTTGCATGTCACAAAACTTATTTTTCCATTCTGTCGCATTCTGTGGTTGACGTAAATTGTAGTTTTCCTTGATTAAATGTGCATTTATGGTGAGATTACTACATTTTATTTAATTAAACAGAACTAGGAGCTAGGAACTAGGAGAACTAGGAGTGTGGAGAAGGGGTGGAGGAGGGATGCTGCAAACAGTCAATGGATCGAGGTAAGACTGCTGAGTCTATTTGTACCCTCTTATCATTGACTGCTGATTGCTGTCCACTCGTGTCAATTATCTGAACGTGCTCCTCCCGAACTTAGTTAATAAAACTTCATTATGTGAACGAACGCACTAACATCACGCTCCTGCACCGCAACACACACTGCAAACGGGTGTGAAACGGACGTTAGATCCACTACAGTTCTTAGATGTGTTTAATAACTCTTTTTTTCGTACAACAGCAGCACTCATCTTGTTTGTTTATTAGTGGATGCGGATGACCAGTCGTATACCGGAAACTGATACGCCGACTTCTGGACAAAAGCGGAAGTTCGAAGTTGTGCACATAGCCCATACATTGGGTGTTATAAAAGAGCTAATTGCGATGAAGCAACTTTAATATTGTTTTAACGGTACTTTACATCAAGGTTTCATTAGTTAACTGCTTTGTTTAATATTAACTAAGAAAGTCCATTAAGTCGCAAATCTTTATGAGAGATGTCGTTACAGAGCTCAGGGACAACATGTGCTGTTCGCGGTTGTACGTATAACCGGACTAAACTAATTCAGTGGCTTAAACGTGAGTGTTCCTGCCAACGACTGTAGTTTCCATCACCTCCCAAAAGACGACGAATCTTCCTGTTTACATTTGTTTAGATTCTTCATATTCTACTCTATCAGCATGTGATTGGCTGTTCGCTACTGATGTTACACCTAAACGCAGGATCAAAGTTGACAGAATACCAAATGTGCCAGTTCATGTATTCAAGTAGCACATTCATTTATAATTTTGAATAAACTCCAAAGCACAATGACTAAGTGTGTATTTATTTTAATTGTTTGTCAGCTCGCACATCTGTCTGTCACCATGCCTTGATGAGTATTGATTATTAATAATATTGTTATAATACTCCCAACTAACTACTGCGGAGGGTAAAGGTAGTGTTATTTCACCCTTTTTAATTTCGTTGAGGTTATCGTTAGCTAGTTTGGATCGCTATAACTTGAATGACTGTCAACTGTTGAATGAACGAGTGTGAAGTATGTCAAGTCGCGCTTTGTTTACTTCGAAATGGAAGATGCGCCCACTTTTGACGAAAGGCCTCATGGGGCGTAGGAAACTTGTTAACTTCTTAAACTTCACGTTTGTGAAGCTTAATGCTTCACGTGTGGCATGTTTATTTTATAAAGCACTTTCTCAATAAATGATTTGCAACAACAATTTAAGTGTCTTTTTTTCTATAAACCAATTTCTCAATAAACAGCCCATTCTCACTCCCAAGGAGTCACCTAACTGACGCCTTGGGAAGCATTTGAACATGCTTCAATATCTGACGCTTTAGGCGCCCTTTAGCGTCAGTTAGATGACGCCGTAGGATAGCGTCATGTAAGTGACGCTAAAGGGCGCCTAAAACGTCAAATATTGAAGCATGGTCAAAGGTGACGCCTTGGGGTGAGAATGCGTTGCAATAAATGGTTACAATGCATATTACAAGTGTCCTTTATTATATAACACATTTTAATAAATTGTTTTTATTAATTTCTGGTGTCTTTATAAAAACACTTTCTTAATATGAAGTTACAATTGTGGTTATATAACACATAAGTACTGCATACATAAAAAGGCATAATTATAATTTAAAAATTGCACATTCCACAACAGTACAGTTATACCGTTCCTGACATCTTTTACACGCACAGATGATGAGAACACAGATCAGCAGAAGCAGAAGGGCTCCCAGGCCGGCTTGGATGCCCACCATGGCCCAGAAATCAAAACCAAAGAGTTTACCACCTGGACCAAAACCTGAACCTGAACCTGTAAGACACAACCACATGAAATCAATAACAGACAAGTGGATCATTATAAAACATCTGTTTTAAGCTGCAAAAAAATCCTACAATCTGCATCAGGCGCAATACTGATCCAACTTTATTTCACGAGGGGCGGGGGTCAAATGTTTGGACAGACTTCACTGAATTTGCTCTTAATTACAAAAAACGTATAATTAGTTTTGGTGAATATAGTTGTGTAGGCTAAATGTATACTGTGATGGATTTTTTAATTAATCATAACTAACATTTTTCTTGCAGGATTAACATTTAGATGCTTTTGAAAAATATATAGGCTTATCTCCAAAGCTTGGCCCAAAGTGAATCTAACAAAAGGAGAAAAGAAACAGATGTCTAATGCACTATACGAATGACATTGAGTAACAAAGTGAAGTAATCAAGAAATCCAGTTCCCTTTCGAGGGAACTCGCGATGCGTCAACAACGCTTTGGGAACGTTTCCAGCGTGAGCACATTCGGTCAACTAACGCAGTGTTTCCCAACCCTGTTCCTGGCGGCACACAAACACTGCGTGTTTTCTTTGTCTCCCTAATCAAACACACCCGATTCAACTCATCAGCTCATTAACCCACCTGATTATGAGCTGATGGGTTGAGTCAGGTGTGTTTGATAAGGGTTACAAAGAATACACGCAGTGTTGGTGTGCCGCCAGGAACAGGGTATTCCGGACACTTTGCACTGTAAAATGTCCTTTAAGATATCAACCCGCTGAAAGATAAACCTGATTGCTCGTCTGTCTCTGGGGACACGCCTTCCACACGTTTCAAAGTTTGTTTGACACATTTTGATCTAATCATATTAGAAAAATCTTGAAAAAAAAAAACTGCCGGGAGACGCAGTGTCCAGATTACCATGAGGACTCACTGTGTTCTGGACAGCTAAAAAATTTTTCTCACTGTGTTGCGGACAGTCATTTCTAATATAAAACGCATACATTTTAACAACTATAAGTTGGTAAAGTAATTATATTAATCTTCTTAACTTTGTTGTATAAGTGTATACACTCTTTTAATCGACAATTGCTCATTTGAGCATTATATTTTAAAGTTATATTTAAGAATTTTAAATATTTTTATTATTTTAATCCCTTAAAGTACAAATATTTGCATATTGTAACTCATAATTATTTTATAAAACCATAAGAATGTTTTTTTTCGTCATTTTCTGGTGGGTGAGCCGTTTTCTATTGAGGTATATGGACTATGTGCACGTTAGCATATGCTAGTTCCGGCTGCGAAACCGATATGGGGTGTCTAGTTTCCGGTAGCCTGATGGACGACGTAGAGGATGTATGTTTCTCCAGATGTCTTGAACATTTGCCGAATATTACAGTCGATTATGTTCATCGACTGGCTAATGATTTTCCTCCAGCTCCCCAGAGCAAGAGAGAAGGGGTTTAAATATTACATTTCTCAGTATTTGCATCATTTTGAAGGGAACGTTAAGTCACAACAACATCCATGCTCAGACTGATCTCATGAAATTGCGTATGTATGACACGTATCACGTATTTTTGGCATGCTATCAACATGCATAATCTCTTTTCAGCGTGTTTATGAATACCGTTGACTTAACGTTATTATTGTATATATATAGCATATATATATATATATATATATATATATATATGAAGAGTTAAGATGCAAAAGCCTCTAAATGCCATTTGAAATTTTCTTCTTTAATGATGATTTTTATCAAGCTTGTATATTTAAGTTCAGTAATTTCACTTAAATGGCAATGATAATTACCTATTAATTGTTATTTAAGTGAAATTACTGAACTTAAATATACAAGTTTGATAAAAATCATCATTAAAGATGAAAATTTCAAATGGCATTTAGAGGCTTTTGCATCTGAACTCTTCATATATATATATATATATATATATATATATATATATATATATATATATTATACACAGTGTATATATATATATATATATATATATATATAGCATATGACCTACCTCAACCCCAACCTACCCATCACTCCTACCATCCTAGGAAAAAATAAATATCGCTCCCCAGATGTAGATCTACATTTTGTTTTGTTTCGCTCGGACATTTGACGGCGTGTACATACGCGGTACACGTGGAATCACTCGGACATATATATATATATATTATATATATATAACATATATATGTTGCCATGCTACGTGCTCAAGCTATGCGATTTGGTAACTGTTCTCTCGAAATCATGCGTTAGAAAGTGCATTTTCCAGAACAGTTTGTGTTGGCCATTGTTTTGTTTATGATGTTCAGAGGCTATGTTGTTGAAAACCACTATCGTCATATAGATCAGTGTTGACAACCACTATAACGTTACATGTCATACAGGGAGTAAAGGTATCCGACGTTGGTTCGTTCGTTATCAAGTTAGGCTGTTTAACACATATTAGGCTGTTCACACATATTTTTAAACAGGTCTCCCTTGCAAAATAGGTTCTAAACCCAGGGGCTTCTCCTGGTTAAAGGGTATAATATAATAAATAATTAGTAGCCTAAAAACTTCCTTCTAGTTGTCATGGATACGCAACGCTCCACTCTGTAAAGCGACTGCTTGGGTGCGGTGACAAAATGTGAAATATCGTTTACTTTTCACAATGCAGCAGCGCCTGGCTCCACCCAAATATGAGTGAAAACTGTGTTGGTTGACTTGACAATGAACAAACGAACATAGTTTTAGACAAATAAATTTAGATAGCTAAGCTTTAGATAGCCGGTCCACTGATGTAGGATGTAAACAACGGCAACCGGAACCGAAGTACCCAACATCCGCCCTCAAGGCGGAAGTTAGCATTTTTCTCGTGCACATAGTCAATTATCCCCTCGTCCATATGTCCTTCCGGAAAACCTTCCCCTCGTCATTTTCTGAACAGTCAATGGTGTACGTTAGAAACTCGCGTTGATTTCTATAAAACGACTGGCTCTGGAAGCATAAGGTTGGTCGGAATCGAAAGAGGAGGAGGCAAAGATGACACGGATATGCCGTGACCTGAAAGTATTTATTTATATAATTTGTGAAAAAAGGTCAAGTGAGAATACAGTGAGTCTATGTTAGTCCAATGGGAAAAATTATCGTCAAGGGCGGGTGACATCATGACAAGGAAATAATATAAAAGAGCATCTGGTGCAAACCGGTATTAGCTTCTGTTGCCTTATCAAGTGATCTGTGTTTCTCTGTCTGCTATATTTACTGTTGTCTGTGATATATATATATATATATATATATATATATATATATATATATATATATATAGCCTATATATATATATATATATATATATATTGGGAATTATGGCGAAACAACTATATGTATATACAAACTCTGTGCTTCTCCCTGCCCGCTCTATTTAACTGGTGGTTTAAAACCTTATCTGGGTTGTATTTTCTCTCACTTTGCATCTTTTTCCTTGTGAAGACCAGGGCTGCCAACTCTCACGCTTTCAACGTGAGACTCTCACGCCACAACCCCGATTTCTCACGCTGAAGTGTCAACCCGGTCGGTTAAATGCCTGAAAGATGAGTTGATTTATCAATCTACCTGTTGAGCCACTCGTGATCGCCTAGTTTTACCGCAAAGTTAAAATATCCTGTAATCCAGAGCGAGCATGCATGCGAGACAGATGTTGAGCTCCTAACCGCGCCACGTGCACAATGGCAGAGAGGTGAGCGGGAAACCTTGCGTGTGGAGCTAAACCCTAAACTAAAAAAGTTGTGATAGCTAATTGTGAATTAGACTTATTTACTGTCATAGATTCACGATTGTAGGTCAGCAGCAAAAACAGGAAACGGCCCAAAAACAGTTCATATATACTTTATGGAACAACAGTGAAACCGCGAAAAGTCACACACACAGTTTACAGACACTCTTATTTTTAACATCAGTATTTAATTTAGATGTTTTATCTTGTCTTAGAGACAACACACACGTTTATTTAATTATTTTAAAAGATAAAGTAAAGCATAAAATCGGAACATTAAGAATGAAAAGCATGAAATAAGAAATACTTACATGATATTGGGGTACTCTCACTTTTGTCTTTGCTGACAGGATTGTGTGCCTCGCATGAGTACGGTTTATACTCCTGTACTTGAGTAGATGACAAGAACATTTGAGGGTTTGTCTCATTCTGGATCTTTTTGTCTTCTTTATACCAGGATACAGTCAGATCTTTTCTGTTTCCAATGTTACAGGAGAGAGTCGCGTTCCCATCTTTTGAGCATTTGGGTATCACAGTGGGTTTAGGGGCCTTTTCTGTTTCAGAAACATGGAGGTTATTTACTATACTGTCACTAATATAGAAATACACAGTCTGATTTTGTTATTATTATTGTGTTGGAAGGATAGAAATATTTGTCGTCTTACCATATACTTTAATTTCCACTTCGTCTTTACCAATCTCTGTACCAACATCATTAAATTCAGTGAAGGTAAATTTGCCCGTGTCCTTCAGACTAACATTTAATAATCTCAATGATCCATCTTCTTCCATAGATATACCTTCATATATTACTCTGACTTTCTTATCTTTCCAGCGAAGAATGTTGCCGTTTATGCTGTGGACCCATTTTCTCTCATGAGGTTTCTCTTTGTTGTTGTTTGTTTTCCGCTTAATGATGCAGGACGTTCCCACTTGTAGATCTGTTCCACATGTCTCTGTTGACACTATAATAAATTAAATCATATTAGTATTTATTAAAATTCAACAGGGTTCAACTGCTCATATGTGTTTCACTATGATTAAAAAGCGTAAAAACAGAATGAATAATTCTCAGGGTGAGTTTCTTTTTTAAAGTCAATTTCAGTTCAGACACTAACTTTAGACAGCACAAAAAATGCCAATAAAGAATCTTTATTGTAAGATTATGATTTGACTACATATAAACGTTCGACTTTCTGTGAGTGTCTGCTATTAAAGGCCGACACGAACAAACACTCAATGCAGCAGTTTGCATGCGTTTAATGGTGTCCAAAAATGACAGTAAAAGTATTTGTTCAATTGGTCACAATTGCTAGTGTTGCTTTAAGGACATATTTTAACTAATCTAACACTTAAAAATGGCCTTGACAATTTAATAATATGATTTATAATATTGAGTATAAAGTAATGCAGTATGCATGAAAACAAAATATTAATATGGATTACTACTATTCTTAATCCTTTCAGAATCTTTATCCTTTGATCGCAACTTTTGATCTCAACTACACAATATATAAGAAAAACGGCTTCTTCACTTCAGTCTATTAACATTTCCATACAAAACAAAATCAGAACCTACCAGAGAGTGCAGCGAAGCCACAGAGGAACAACAATAAGAGATTGTATTTGCAGTTCATTGCTCTTCTGAACACAGCAAATGATCCAGAACCTTTCTCACATCAAACCAAATCAACTGGAGGAAATCCAAGAGTATCAGCAGAACCGCAGTTTCAGAACCACTGCCGCTGGGCGGGGCTTCATGTTGTTTTGATAAATAAGATAAAAAAAATAATAATAGATTTTGATAGGATCTATGTCTACAATATTTAACAATTTTTTTAATTACCACGTTCATAAACTGTGTTTATCTGCTAAAAATATTGAATCACATTTTTTTTTTTTTTTTTTTTTTTTTTTGCATTCGTCAAAATATATTACTCATGTTGTTTCATTGGGGGGCTCTTTCTGCATAAATGGCATGTTAAGAGTCAACTCTTTTGTGTTTTAAGATGATTTGTTTGTTATTTGCATGTCATTTTATTATGAGCCATTTAAATACGTTTTAAATATTTTTTAATTATCCGATTTGTTTTCATACAGACACGTTTCACTTTTTCAGACTTTGTATTAAATGGTTCTTTTTATTTGACATAGGCTACGTCACAAAGGCCTACTCGCTGTTTAGGCTATTATTTGTATCATCATGAACATGAAGGAAATAATATCAAATATAGAGTCAAATTGGAAACAAGTAACAACATGTTACATTTGTAGGCTATAGTTGTGTCATTTAAACTACAGTGCGTGTATTCATTAACATAAAATCTTCTCATACTCTGTCGTTAGGACTTTTATTTGTAACAACATAAACAAATCACAAATTTTTTCAAAATTTAGGCCATCAAATGGGAAACACTTTACAACATGTTACACATTTATTAATATTATTTGAAATAATAAAGGTGTATATTTGTAGCCTAAATCCTTGAAGTATAAACTACTGTTTGTATCCATTCATTGACATTAAGCTGATCAATAGGCTATTTTTTTTTAAATTTTGCTCAACAACATATCATGAATGAAAAATTAAGTATTCTTATAAATATTGTAGACATGAATACGATCAAATAATATGTATGTATATATATAGACCAACTCAGAGCCTATGACTGTTAAGCCCCGCCCCTCACGTCCGGTTCTGTGGATGAAGTGGTTCGGTGCGGTTTTGTCTCGAGGAAACAGAAAGAATTTCCTGTCTGCGACCTGATCGAGAATTGGTGGTAATGCTGACCGAATCATAAGCGGTCAGTTAAAGGGATAGTTCGCCCAAAAATTAAAATGTTGTCATCATGTACTCAGCCTGATGTTGTTCCATCCAAACCAGTAAGTTTCTCTGTTCTGTTAAAGGGGGGGTTGACTGCTTTTTTCTTTGCATGATTGTATTAATGGGGTGCAATATAACATGTATTCGTGGTTTTTCTTTTTTAAAAAGTCAAATTTTTTATAAACTTCATCTTTATTGTCACGAGCGGTTGACTTCCTGAGTCTATGAAACCACTCCCTCAGAAACGGTCAGTGGGCTCAGATTGGTTAGTTTGGCCCGGTGTGTTGTGATTGGCTAAACTAAGTAGTGCGCGTTGTCCGGCATAGATATATATACACTAGACTTCACCTTGGATACGGCAGTTCATTGGAACGAATGCGTCAATAGAGCCGCCATCTTGAAACAGGGGAGCCCCTCCACTTTAATGCATCAGCGTCAATGTAGTAGACACAGGTCTAACGCAAATAAAATCACCACAAATCATCATGAATGCGATTTTCTTGTTTTTTTGGTTTGTTCCAACGGTCAGACATGTATTTATCATTGATTCCGGAAAGAAAATTTTTTTTTTTACATTTTTTTAAATTTTTTGTAAAACATTCTTGGTAAACAAAATAAAGGAAATTAGCTTTAAAATCTTACACAGGTACTACCCAGTAAATAATTTTCTTGTTAAATTTAAAAAGGATATTGATCTGAACTGTTCTTTTGCAATACATTGCCTGAAACTTTGTTTCATCTGTTTTGGCATTGCGCTCATGTAAGAAAGTTTTGGAAAGACTTATCTAGATTTATAATTCACAATATTGACCCCTCTTTTTCTTTGTGTTTAGAAAATGTTATAGCTGGTTTTAATAATATTCCTTCAAATAAAAGGAAGGAATACTATATTATAAATTTAATTTTAATTTATGCTAAATTCCATATACATAAATGTAAGTACAATAAAACCAAACCTTTGTTTTTGGTTCTTGAAAAAGAAATGCAATTATATATCAAAACTATCCTTCATTCCCACAATAAAAAAGCAATTAAAACTATTTCGATTTGTGAATCCTTTGATATTTTTATATAATGTTTAGCCTCCCCCCCCCCCTGGCTGTCTGTTTTTTGTTTTTGTTTTTTCTGCTTGTTTTTGTTTTCTCCATTTTGTATATATTGCAATTCTGACTGTATATTGACTTTGTTGGTTAGAATTAAAAAAAAAAAAAAAAAAAAAAAAAAACATTCTTCCTAGTTCAGATTTCATCCGTGAACTTCATACGCTGCACAAAAGTCCGCCACCATCAATGAATTCGAAGTAAAGGCAGAGATAGCAGCGTTACCTAGCTACTTCCTATGACAAGACCCCTGTTCCAAGATGGCGGCGGTTTTGACGCATGCTTAGAACCCCCAGGTGAAGTCTAGTGTATATATCTATGGTTGTCCGGATACTAAAAGACGCCCATTAATTATCTTTACGGGCGAAACGTGCATGTCATGAGCTCCGGTGTTGTGCATATATATCGACCCCCGCCAAATTATTACCCCCCTAGTATTGGTAGGTGTAGGATTAGTTGTGGGGGAGGGGTTATTTTATTTTTATTAATTTATCCATCCTTTATTTTACCAGGATAGTCCAATTGAGATAAAAATCTCTTCTTCCAGGGAGTCCTGGCCAAGATGGCAGCACAAAAAAGTTTCACATATATAACAATAGGCCTAGACATAAAACTCAATCTTACATACAATTTTACCCAGCGCTCATAGAATAAACAAAAGTTACTTTACAAAACATGCACACGTTTCCTTTAAATTGGTCAATAAAAGATTTTTAAAAACGGTTAAAGGGGGGGGAGAGTTTTTATCATTATTATACTCTGCAGCTCATTCCATAACCAAGGGGCATAGAAAGAAAAAGCAGTTTTACCAAGCTCTGAACGAACTCTAGGAACCTTTAAAAGCAGTTTTTCACTAGATCTAGTTATAATAAACGACATATATAAATTGGGATTAGGCAATCAGGAACTCATTTCAACGAGGGGGGTAATAATTTGGCAGGGGGTCGAAATTAGGCACAACACCTGTTCATGAATCGAGACATTGGTGTCGGGTCTTTCTCCATCGGTTTGGTGTTTTTTGGGTTCAGCATTTACAGTACTGCTGCCATCTTGTGTATATTTATGGCAAGTGTTTGATATCAGTGTCTGGCACAAGTGTGTATCCAACAAGATGACTAACCCTGCATGAGACGTAACTAAAGTGCACTGCATAAACTACTGTAATAACACAAATGAACTATCTGGTGCTGGATCTTTTTTGCCCAAACATTCATTTTAGAGTGAATATTTGGGGTGTATTATTTATAATATCTGACTTACAGTAGGATATCCTGATGCCAATATTTTTATGTATTGCAAATATGTAATTCAATTATGAAAACAAAACTGTAATAGATACAATTTGAAATTGACATACTGTATTCACATTTCACATTCGACGGGATTTTATTCAAAGTGATTTACAGTACATTCAATGTTTACAATAAACCTGCATTAAACTATTCACAAGTTCAAAACTATAACCCTATGATTTAATGGCTAAATAAAATAGAATAAATTCTCTACTTTCAACCACAAAAGAAAAATAATGCAGCAAATGGATTGTAAAATAGTGTGAAATTTATAATTTAATTATTTATTAGGATAAACCCCTTGAGATGCGCCATCTTGTTTTTGAATGGGTCCTAAAATACATCACAACCATCACAAAAGAACAATAATTAAAAAAAAATACAATTATACGTTTGTTAATATACAGACAGACATATTAAAGCAAACAAACACAAATACAGAGCAACGAAAACAGTAATTACAACAAATATAAAGAATTTTACAAACATTAGACGGTCAAACTGACCAAAAATACTTATGAAATCGATAGTGTGGATCACAATACATTCATTGTCATGTATTTTAAAAAAATTATTTTCCAAACAATACCAATTTTTAGAGGCTATTTATTTCTACACAATCACACCTGCAAAACTCTCAAGTTGGTGACCATAAGTAATAAATAAATTTAAGAGTACATTGATATATTCATAACCTGAGGATGTTCCCACACCCAGCAGACGGAAAGGTCAAAGAGCAACAGTGAAAGTTGAGAAACGGCCAATTCTGAAGCACAGACGGGTCAAGTTGATCCATAAGTGTGTGGCATCTATAACACACACAAACACACACAGATGCTGTTTCTGAGGGAAAACAGGTGTTTTATTTACATTATACAACATATAGTACTGATTTTACACAAAAAAAACAACAACTAAATAAGATCAATCTTGCGTCTCCCACATAAACGGAGGCGTCTTAAAGCTATATAACAAATCAGGAGGCTGTTACAATTTAAAGTCAATATAAATATTTATTAATACATTTATTAATACAGATGTACTGTGAATAATTCATGAGTTTATATCTATGGTCATAGATTCACATATATAGAGCAAATTATAAGAAAAGATGATAGAATGGAAACGTATATGTATATTTTTAAAATATTTAACACATACCATGAGAAGCTATGACAGGAAAAGGGTTATAATCATAACCATCGTGACCGAAGGAATGACAGCAGACACGGCACATCCTTTGTTTGTTTCTAAAGTGGGGAAAATATGTTATAAAACCAATTCCTGGAACACATATTTATATGATCATATAGTAAGTTTATTAAAGTTTATTCACATAGTCTAAAGAAAAACATGTATATTCATCGTTACTTTAGGATTTAAGTGGTTAATATCCCTCTAGTGTGGGATCCCACTGTGATCGGGAAAGAAACAATAGTGTTGACTGATTCATTTGCACATGGTTATTGTATAAAAATATAGTAAAAAAAAAAAAACCCACATTTATTTTCACCACAAGGGGACTTTAAATGTCTAATTAGGTTATTAAATTGCATCTTAATAAAAGCATAAGTACATATGAACCTCGAAAAATTTGAATATTGTGCAAAAGTTATAATTTTGATGATTGTCTACAGCTTGTGCAAGATGATGTCTTACAATCCCAAATTAAAAATCTCAGAAAATTACATTTTAATTACAATTACAATCAATTAAAAAAAAAAAAAGACTTCAGCCCTCTGAAAAGTATAATCATGCACATTTGAATTAGTGAAATACATTAACTTTTGCACGATATTGTAATTTTTCGAGTCTCACCTGTAAATTCTTCTGGCATACAGTTTGTGTTTAGTGTCCATCTCACCTTCAAACAACTTTCTCTCATAGACCGGATCACTGGTCTTCTCACTCACTGCGTTCTTGAGTGAACACGTGTAGGAGATTGATGGGTTTCCTGTTTTTGTGACATTAATGGACTCTCCTTTCGCTGTGTGCGCTGAACCCGTCAGTGTTTCTCCAGCAGAATTCTTCCAGATGATTGTTTCATCGTACTCGCATATTAAATCCACAACATCAGATTTAGTAGTCCTCTTCTCTATTTTAATCACAGGTTTGGGGACCCGTTCTGTGAAAGAAACAATAAAACAAATATGGGCATTCAGTCTATAAAGTAACATAATTAAATCAAACACAACTTCACTAGCACTGCAAAAATAAGTGACAGTAGTACAATGAAGGTATTAGAGATTAAATCCAAACTTAGTACAAAGTATACTATAACACTACAGTGGTTTTGGACATGTGGTATTCTTGAAAGTACCACGGTATTAATCAAAGTATTACAATCTGATTTCATTATTTTACAATTACACCGTTTTTTTGTTTTCCTGTATGTGGGGATAAGTAAAAACAACCATAATAATAATATTAATATTAATGAATGTAATAATCAGCAGTCACTCACCCATAACAGTCAAGGTGAATCTTTGTTCCTGCTCTTTACCGCTGACGTCAATGATATAAACTCCAGTGTGTTCAACTGTTAGATTAGTAATATTGATTTGTCCAGTCTCTTTATTAAGAGTTGTGATGCCTTTGAATCTCGGATTCGGGATTGTAATTTCGTCTCCCACTTCCCATTCAATCGCTTTAACAGTTGATCCAGGTGTTACGTGTTTCCATGTGATGCTGGTGAAAGAAGGACCAATTTCCTTCAGTTGAAAAGAAACTTGATCACCCACTGCTTTCTTCACCTCTTCACCTAATAATCAAAATATGAGAGAGTATGTTAGTCAACAAACAAATCTGTGGTCTAGCTGAGTAATTTCCAGGAAGTCTAGATATACAAATATATACAAATTAGCGTGATAGCACAATTCGATAACAGCTAGCCTATAGTGTAAAGTTTAGCGTGAGATCTACTGACGACGTGCAAAATAAAGAACAAAGACTCAGTCAGATCATTTCCATTATGACCAACACAATCTACAGTAAATTATCTTGCGTGATTCATTTCCATTCTCTCTTCCCGCCGTACATTTTGGGCCTGACAGGGAAACTCGCATATAGAATAATTAAGGTCTACCGCAAAATAACCCGTCCACCCTTTTCATAATGTTTCACAGCATTCCTTTATTAAAAATATTAATCCTGACAGTCGTTTCCCAGACAGCAAACTGACATTGAATCAACGTGGAAACGACGTCTCTCATGACATTGAAACAACGTTGATTTTGCTCATCAAATTAACGTTGAACCAACGTCAGACGCGGCATTCTTCAAGCTAAATGAAAATCGAAAATTGGTTTGCTTTCATAACGTTGAAACAACGCGTTGATTTCAAGTTGATTTTCCGTTAGTTTTGAAAGAATGACGCGTCTGACGTTGGTTCAACGTTAATTCGATGAGCAAAACAATGTCAGATCAACGTTGTTTCGATGTCATATTTCCACGTTGATTCAATGTCAGTCTGCTATCTTTAACGCCAAAAGAGTGTTTACACAGGAGGAATGAAATCTGTTAGTAAATCTGACCGCAACTGTCTAGGTTTTCTGAGAACTGCGTGTCATTTCCAGTAAAACGTTAAAAAACTCACCCGAAGCAGCTTCTGTGGTGAAGAACACAACGATGAGGATCAACGTCAAGAGCTGAAGGGACATTTTTGTTAGAAGAACGCCTATTCAGTTTTTCTTCGAGATTTTGCTCAGAGACACAACATGCAGAGGCAAGTGTAACCTTAACTCCTTCCTTGGAAGGAGTATAGCCTATAAGGAAAAGGAAGTTTGAAAATAAATACGGCAACGCCTAGCATTGTGTGTCGGTGTTTCCATGAGTCTTTCACTAGTTAGTTAGTAATAGTATTCTTGCTGGTATATGTGTAACTACAGTGATACAAAGCAAACGTGTGAAATTAGATTTCAATCCCCAACTTTTCCCACACATGAAACAAATATCTAAACGAGGATATATTATACCAATTGTGACGAACATAAAACACAATTTTTCCACACACTTTTCCATAAAAAAAAATATACAGATAGATAGATAGATAGATAGATAGATAGATAGATAGATAGATAGATAGATAGATAGATAGATAGATAGATAGATAGATAGATTTTAAGTGTTTGGAAAAATAGTTTTTATTATGTCTCGATCGGTCAGTATAATGAAATTCATATAGCCTGTAGGCCTATATATCAGCAGTTATTTAACACATTTTAATCTCTTTCATGTCATTTTAGAGTTATAAAAAACCTTTATACAGCACTTATGGAAATACTGAGATAAGAGGTAGGCCTAAAAAAAAAAAAAAGATAATGATAAAAAATACAACCACCTGTATTTTCTCATCGGTCCATCAACTTCTTTACGCATTCTATGACCACAATTAAAGGTGTAGTGGTAAAAAAAGAGGTGGGTAAAGTAAACTAAATTCTGGTGGACCACGACGTGGTCACCAGGTAAGGTGGGCCACTGCCTACCGGTGCTATAGGGAGGGCTCGACATTAAGCCTTTTCATACGTAAATTCTCGCTCGTAAAAAAGTCGCTCGTCCGGATTTTTTATTTTTATTTTGTGTGTGTTCATTTATTCTTTAACAATATTCTCATCAGTGTTCAATCAGCTTTGATATTTAAATCACCATATTGTAATATCTGCACCTTTAAAGAGTATCCCTTCCCCCGATATTATTTAATGTATGCTTCATCTTTCATTTTAAATTCGTAAATTTGATCAATAAATTCAATTATTTCGAAAAGGGCTGTTACCCTAGGGGCTGATCAAATTAAATCATTTACACTGAAAAATTACAATTGCATAAAATAATGTTATGGAATTTATTTACATTTACATTTAAACGTTGGAATGATACTAAACATTTAACACTAAACCGCCAGTAGGTGGCGGCAGACGACCGTCTTAATGAGTGAGTCATTGATTAATTCATTCAAACGATTCGTTCAAACGACTGATTCATTCAAGAATGAGAGAGGTGTTTATGAATGGGCATTGAATCTTTGACTCAACTGATTCGTTCAAAATGCTGAATCATTCAGTAATGAAAACAGGTGTTCCTGTGACATGTGCCGTGGTTCTGCTGTGATTTTTGTTGCTGCTGAAACAGAACTAATTCACTCAACATCCAATATTGCATCTAAAATGTAAGTTATTTAATTTTAACTGTTTATTGAACTGTTGTAGGAAATCAATGTCACGTTTTCAATCGTGATGGCAATCAACACAATTGAATAATTGTGAAATCATATATTAATACTAGCACCTTAAAGATACCAAAAATCTTATATGTTAACATACTTTATAAACCTTTTGTGTTGGAGCTGATCCAGCCATCATCTACTAATGGTGCAAACAGGAATTAAACTGCTTTGGTCAAGTGACATTTTGCACTAACCATGCATGTGAAACAACACACAATTTAACTGAGACTGAGGAAATGCACTTGCAGTCAATAACATTTTTAAAGCTTCATAAATGAGCACTTTCTTTACGATCGCTTTTATGAACGGTGGGATTAAATGGACAAACAATTTACAATAATGCATGAAACATAATAACCACACTAGATGCAATCACAGAATACAGAGGATTTTATCTATTATTATTTTATTCAGGATTTGCATTCAATGTTTACAATTTTATTGGTTCATGTCCCTTTATCAAACTCTTCACATTTGGGATGTGAGCACAGAACAATCTCTTTGCCTTGGGTGCAACATAAAACAGAATTAAATTCCTTCTCTGCTTTTCCCCACAAATGAAAAATGAATCATAATAATTAGTTTATTCATACGCTACTCTCTGTTTGGTGCCGGGAAGATATTCTCATCTTGTCCCTCATTGAAAAAAGTATTTGCATATGTAACTAGATTTAGGCCTAAATATTCAGAACCAGAGGAGACAGTCGAAGTTATGAAGCACAGTTATGAGCAGAGGCTTTAGTAAAGCTGGCCAGGCGAATGTGTCGAGATACATTTTGCATTTGAAGATTCAGGAGGTTCATGATGAGCATCAGTCATTCACTCATGAATGCCATTTCTGTGGGGGAAAAACTGTATAAAAACAACAACAAATACACACAAAAAACATGTTTGTCTTTAAATGTACAAGATAAAACCACATACAGTAGTACCTTGGATGCTGATTGGTCAGTTACGAAACGGAGCCCATTCATCTTTTGTGAATATGCCTGCACAGAACCCATAGAGGCTAAGATCAATTTCATTTGTCTATAATATTGCACACGGGAATGATTTTCTACAAGGAATAAAGAAAATAAACTTACTCTGCAAGCATCTCTTACGAAAGCGCCACAAACACCTTGAATAGAAGGGACACACTAATCATTAGTCAAATATTCAACCCTATTTAAACGTCATTAATACACATTTTTATGTGAATGATTCATGAGCACAGACAGCAATGGCTACTAATGTGAACCTACAGCCTAATAATTATTGGAGCAAACTCAAAATGAAGGTCTTTATACATTCTGCCATTAATAAATTCCCACATGCAATGAAGTCTTGCTCTACATTTCCTCACTTAATATCCAGCGTCACAATAAATGTGACATTATGGAAGTAAAACATTTTGCCAATGGTAAATTTCCTCAAGTTTGGGACAATGGTCAAAATGCTGTTTTGAGCAAATGATAAAGAAACACATTTCAAATGTTTGAAAGATTAAATACAGTCTTACCATAACAGGATCAGCAAAAGGACCACAGAGATGACACTTACAATGATAATTACAATGTCAGATATTGTAAATGAGTCTACAGAAGAAAAAATAGGTTATTACAGTTGGCATGAAATGTAAATTCACCTGTGCTTTCTAAATGCATGTTATAGATTTTATGGTGAACACAAAACATGACTTTAGTTAGATCATTAAGGTTATTAATTGATAAGTGAATTATTCAATTGTATCTTGCATAGTGCATAGTGAATTAAAGCATTACCTAAATGGTGGTATTTATCTAGAAACATATATATCCTATTCTATATCCTATTTTACACAAATTTGCAAATGTATGCAAGTGCTGGCCAGTAGGAAGCTTGTTTATTTCTTGTTTGTTTCTTCCACGAAATAAAAACTAAAATAAAAACATAATTGTGAGGTTTTTATCTCACAATTCAGACATTATGAGTAACAAGTGTGAGTTTTCATCTCATAATATATATAATATATAATAATATATATATATAAATACTGTATAAACTCGATATTGACAGAAAAAGTCAGGAGTTTAAGATATAACCTCGATATTGACAGAAAAAAGTTAGAAGTTTAAGATATAAACTCGAAATTGACAGAAAAAAGTCAGAAGTTTAAGATATAAACTCAGAATTGAGAGAAAATAGTCAGAAGTTTAAGATAAACTCAAAATTGAGAGAAAAATGTCAGAAGTTTAAGATATAAACTAAAAATTGAGAGAAAAAAGTCAGAAGTTTAAGATATAAACTCAAAATTGCGAGAAAAATGTCAGAAGTTTAAGATACAAACTCGAAATTGACAGAAAAAAAATCTGAAGTTTAAGATATAAACTCAGAATTGAGAGAAAAAAGTCAGAAGTTTAAGATATAAACTCGATATTGACAGAAAAAAAATCTGAAGTTTAAGATATAAACTCAGAATTGAGAGAAAAAAGTCAGAAGTTTAAGATATAAACTCGAAATTGACAGAAAAAAGTCAGAAGTTTAAGATATAAACTCAATATTGACAGAAAAAAGTCAGAAGTTTAAGATATAAACTCGATATTGACAGAAAAAAATCTGAAGTTTAAGATATAAACTCAGAATTGAGAGAAAAAAGTCAGAAGTTTAAGATATAAACTCGATATTGACAGAAAAAAGTCAGAAGTTTAAGATATAAACTCAATATTGACAGAAAAAAGTCAGAAGTTTAAGATATAAACTCAATATTGACAGAAAAAAGTCAGAAGTTTAAGATATAAACTCAGAATTGAGAGAAAAAAGTCAGAAGTTTAAGATATAAACTCGAAATTGACAGAAAAAAAGTCAGAAGTTTAAGATATAAACTCAGAATTGAGATAAAAAAGTCAGAAATTTAAGATATAAACTCGATATTGACGGAAAAAGTCAGAAGTGTAAGATATAAACTCGAAATTGACGGAAAAAGTCAGAAGTTTAAGATATAAACTGGAAATTGAGAAAAAAAGTCAGAAGTGCAGAATATAAACTCAGAATTAACTGAATACCAAGCGCTTGCGTACTTGTGTAAAATATGGTTGTGTCCAGATGATATTGTCCAGTAAGGTGATTAATGTTGAGTCTCACCGTGAAACAGATCTCTGTCATACACGGGGTCGCTGGTCTCCTCGTTCACTGCGCTCTTCAGGGTGCAGGTGTAGGAGTTATCGGGGTCACTGCTCTCGGTCACTGTTATCGTCCTCGTCTGCTGATCTCGTCCGTGCAGCGTCTCTCCAGAGCTCTTCCAGATCACTGCACTTCCCGAAGCTCCATCATCACTCTCACAACTCAAGGAACATTTAGGAACATCTCCCTGTTCACAATCTTTCTTAATAATATAAGGTTTGCGGACAGGCTCTGTGAATTAAGATCAAAATTAACAACAGTATACACACGCAGTGTTGGGGAAAGTATAAATTACAATATTGCATTACTTCCCAAAGAAGTAACTAAATATGTTACTTAGTTTTTAAGAAGAGTAATGACCTCTGGGCTGGCTTTTTTTTTTATTTTTTTTTTTTTTTGTACTTGTATATTATTCTGATATAATATACATATTCTGATCCAAATGTTCATCAAGAGGTAAATATGCACCAAATATATAGTATATTTTGTATGCAATTTATATTAGTTTGAATAAAAACAATAATTATTATAGCCTACGCGTTTATTGGAGGGTTATTATAACAACTAAAACTATTAAAAATTGGAATAAAGCTGAAAAATGATATATATAAATAAAATATAAATATTAAATTAAATACTTCAACTAATTGAATATAAGGAATGTTTCCTTTGCAAAAAATAAAGAAAAAAGTTTCATTAAAGTTTAATTTGAAGCACTAAAATTATTAACTGAAAATAAAATTAAAATGATTCAAATAAGACAAATGAAAAACATTTTTTTTTTAGAAATTGCTAAAAATTCAAATAAAATAAAAAGTAAATTAAAATAATATAAAATAAAAATCTAAGATGAAAAACTTCAACTAAAACTTGAAATTAAATATTTGTAATATACTAAATTATATGGAAAACTAAATAAATAAAACAGGAAAAAAATCAATCAAACTTAAAATATAAAATAAAAAAATAAAAGCTAATTTACAAAATAATAAAACTATATTAAAAAGACTGGTGTATTTTTGTCCATCAAATAGAAAATTATCATTTGAAAAAAAAAAGTGTTCATTTTTAAATACATTTTTGTTATATGACCCAGAACCAATATAGTTGTATTATTAGTGCATTATTTCTAACACAGCATAATATATGTAAATAATGATGATGGTGAAAATGAAATGTGCTCACCTATAACAGTCAGAACGAATTGCTTTCTTTGCTCTTTGCCGCTGATGTCGAGGGTATAAACTCCAGTGTGTTTGAGCAGTAGATGTTTAAGAGTGAGTTCTCCTGTCTGTTTGTTTAGGCTTGCGTGGGATCTGAATTTGGGGTTGGGAATTACAGTGCTATCATCCTCCCGCTCCCATTCAATGACCTTCACAACAACACCATTGTCTTTGTGTTTCCATGTAATGCTGGTGGTGCTGGGATACACAGATCCAGACACTGGAGTGAACACAGTTTCACTATTCACCGCTTTCATCACATTATCGCCTGAAAGAAATCATTTTACCCCATTAGATTGACAGCAGGAAACTTATAAGCAAGTTTGACATTGCATTTATATTTTTTTCCCCCAAAAACAACTTTCAAAAACCTGAGTTTCCATCATCAACAGCCGCTTAGTTTTCGAAATATTTTCTGTTAGTTCTACTCAATTTTGAACCTTGAAACTCCACCAAATTAATCTTTAATATACGATTTAAGAGGTTTGATTTTTTTTTTTAAGCAAAGACTTCTTACTAAAAAGGACAAAAAATAACATTTTGGACATGTATAAGTAGCCATGATTTTATTAAGCTTTAAATATCTTAGAGTGTTTTTTTAATGCCAACATTACTCTCTGATACCATCACAGCACTAAATTTGTATTAAAGTCTGAAGTAATACCTGAAACAGCTTCACAGAGGATCGAGATCCAGAGAATATAAGAACATCTGAGGAACATCTTCACTCTGCTTTTCTTCATTTCTTTCGATCTCCTTGGTTTTGTGTTAGTGTGTAGTCTAAATGCATAATAATGCATCTGTTGTGTGTCTGGAGTCTGTAGGTTGGGTTGAGCTTCGTCATCTTTCATGCCCTCTGGTGGCAGAAAGGAATAGTAGCAACTCATTGCAGTACACGAGATCCAGGGGGCGGAGTTAGATCCAGATCTAAGGAGTGGAGATTGGATTAGGGGTGGGGTTAGGGATCAGGGGGCGGAGATGGGTAGGTTTAGGCGTATGTGGGAGGAGTTAGATCCAACTCCTCCCACTAGATTTCGTGTTCTGCAGTGAGGAAAGGTTCAATGTGAAATTAACTTCACCGAAAAGAAAACCTACAAAAGAATCTCTGCTTTATCGAGTGACAAATGTTATATCCTTTCTCTAAGAGTTTGTAAAAGGCTCCCGTCGGAGAAAGAAGACTTCTGTTGTGTGACTTTGATAGTTATTTTAGAGTGCGATACCCGATGCTTCCAGTAGGACTATTGTTATTGTTATTGTATCGACTGAGAGAACGGCAGTTGCGCACATGAAGTTTCTTCATGCCTGTTATTTGGATGTTCGTTGGCGTTTTGTTGTTAAAAAAAAGTATTAGTACATGACCAAGTAGATTTCTTTAATTTCTTGATGTTTTAAGTGTATTTTTAAGCTTTGTCCACTTAAATGAGCATGTCCAGACTCGTTTCGCGATGAAAGAAACAATTAGGTGTAACATTTCTAATAATGTGACGGTCTACTTTGTATATGTAATGTTAACTAATTATTCTGGAGAAGGATTATCCAATATTATTTCCATTTGATTATGCTAATTTGGGAAAGTAGATTGTTTGTTGAAGCTGCTGCATCTGGATTCATATAGACTACCAAAGTCATTTTTTTGTGACCAGACCAATAGATATATTGTCTTCAATCTCCCATCCTATTTAGGTGATACTGAATATGCTAGTAAGCTATTCTGAATTAAGAAAGGAACTAATTCATGTTAATGTAGGCTACACATTACTTATACTAATGCTAATGTAATATGTGTTTGTTATTTTAGACTCTGCCTCTTTGGAAAGAAGCACCTGTCTCCTCATTCTTTGTGTCCTGACCTGACCGACACCCAGGGGTGCTAACAAGACCTTTCCTCTCCAACACTAAGGTAAAAGAAGCGTCTTTCAAAATAATATAGATTTTAATAAAGTGTGCTCGTGTTTTACAGCTTTTCGATGATGTTCACGTCGCGTAATTAGATAGCAAGAGTCTATTTGATGTAATATTTACATCAGGAAGACGTATTTTTAAGAGTGTTTGCTCATCTGCAATGTCTGGCAACTGATATTCTTCTAAATATCAAAAAATCGGCTGAATACATTCGAAAACGGTAAAACTCAACTGGGGAGTGGTAGAGCCTATTTCATAGACTGTAGGCCTATTTCCAAAAAAATAAAAAATAAAAAATGGACTATCCCTTTAATGCACATTAATTTTAAAGCATTTCAAAAGAAAAGTTTCTCACAAGATGGCAGCATTGTATGACTTTTATATAGTCACGCAATTATGCATTTAAGCCACCAGGTCACTGCACAGACATGCAAACCATTTTTGGGTCGTGATACACCAGTTGAGAACCACTGTCCTAGATCCAGTATGAGATAATATGAAAAAAATCTACAACAAACCTTTCCATCAGCCTTTCTATCTATAAATTACATATATATAAAAAAATAAATTAAAAATGTAGTCATAAATCAGTGCTTGCCAGCTTTCTAGTCCGCAAGACCAAAGATAAAAATAGCTGGCCAACATCTCAAAACATTATATCTATTCTATATCTGTTTGCAGAAACACCTGCTTCATAAAGCAGCACGTCAGATGACATCTTTCCACACCTGTGAAGCGCCGTCGCATTTTCTGAACAACTGACATCTTCACTTCATGATTCTGTCTGCATATAACCGCCAACTCTGATCGAGAAACAGGAAATTCTTCAGTTTCCTCCAAGTGATTGTGAAAAGGGTTCTGGAACATTTGCTGTGTTCAGAAGAGCAATGGACTGCAAACACAATCTCTTATTGTTGTTCCTCTGTGGCTTCGCTGCACTCTCTGGTAGGTTCTGATTTTGTTTTGTATAGATATGTTAATAGACTGAAGTGAAGAAGCCGTTTTTCTTATATATTTTGTAGTTGAGATCAAATGTTACATTGTGTTTAAAAAATATCAAGAATAGTAATCCATATTAACATTTGATCTCATACATACTAGGATATTTTACATCAACTCAAATTTATCAAGTCATTGTAACATCCAAATTCGCTTTTGTCAGAAACGCCATTTTTAAGCGTTAGATCAGTTAAAATATGGCCTTAAAGCAACAAATGTGATATTATTGTGTCCACTTGATACGTCTACTGTAATTCTTGGACACTTTTAAATGCAAATCTGGTGAGGTTTACACACAAATTTGGCCTTTAATAAAAGACGTAGTCAAATGATAGTGTTACTCTCTTAAAAATAACGGTTTTGTATTGGTATTTATGTTTCTGTGAAGAACATTGAAACATCGATGAAATCTTTAAATTCCACAAAAAGTTCTTTGAAGTGGAAAAGGTTTCTTTAAATGTTATTCGAAATAAGAAAAAATTGTTCTTTTTAGAGCTTTTGAATGAAAGGTTCTCAAACTCTCTTTTTTATAGAAGAAAGTTTGTATTTCAGAAACTATAAGGTTTTGAGTCAAATGCTTATTTTATCAAACACTGATTTGTTGCTTTCAAACATCCAGTTCAAAACAGTATTAAATTATAATCATTTTGTGAAGTTTCTGTTGGACAGAGGAAAACGAGAAACACACTAACATGAGTATAAATATATAACAAATGCAGATTTGAACTCTTTATAGATATATAAATGTCAGGTCAGGGCAAATGTGTTGGAATGTTACACAATTGTAAGTTCTGTTTGTCGTAATGGTTTGGCATTTTTAAGTTACTTTTTGCCTTTGTGACAACTTACCCCGTACAGTGTGACGACATATCCTGTTGTTGTTATAGGAGTCAGTGTGTGTTAAATTAACTTTTTAATGGTGGCATTTTAATATTGAAATGTGTTGTCTAAAGTTAGTGTTTGAACCAAAATTGACTTTTAAAAAGAAACCCACCCTGAGAATTATTCTCTGTTTTTCCTCATAGTGAAACACATATTGCAGTTAAACCCTGTTGAGTTTTATTAAATACTAATATGATTTAATTTATTATAGTGTCAACAGAGGCATGTGGAACAGATCTACTAGTGGGAACGTCCTGCATCATTAAGCGGAAAACAGAAAACAAAGAGAAACCTCCTGATATAAAATGGGTCCACAGCATAAACGGCGACATGCTTCGCTGGAAAGGTGGGAAAGTCAAAGGAACGTATGAAGGTGTATCTATGGAAGAAGATGGATCATTAAGATTATTAAATGTTAGTCTGAAGGACACGGGCAAATATACAGTCACTGAATTTAATGGTGATGGTACAGAGATTGGTAAACGAGAAGTGGAAATTAAAGTATATGGTAAGATGACAAATATTTCCACCCTTCCAACACAATAATAATAACAAAATCAGACTGTGTATTTCTATAGTAGTGACAGTATAGTAAATAACCTCCATGTTTCTGAAACAGAAAAGGCCCCTAAACCCACTGTGATACCCAAATGCAAAGATGGGAACGCGACTCTCTCCTGTAACATCGGAAACAGAAAAGATCTGACTGTATCCTGGTATAAAGAAGACAAAAAGATCCAGAATGACAAAAACTATCAAGTTTTGTTGTCATTTACTCAAATACAGGAGTATAAACCGTACTCATGCGAGGCACACAATCCTGTCAGCAAAGAAAAAAGTGAGAGTATTACAGTGTCATGTAAGTATTTCTTATTTCACATGGTTAAATATGCTCATGTGTTGTCTGTTGGGAAACATCTAAATCTAGACCTTTCTGGGTTTTGGACAGACCTTAAACATTGATGTAAAACGTGCAGCTCTGACACTTTTCACGATTTCACTTTTGTTCCATAAAGTATATGACTGGTTTTTGGGCCGTTTCCTGTTTTTGCTGCTGATGTACAGTACAATCGTGAATCACTGACAGTAAAACAACACTATTTTTCACATTGACTTTGCAAAATGGTGTTGAACTGTGAACTGTTTTCACGCATTTAGCTTTCACAACTTTAAATGCATCATTAGAATAATTTCTCTGGGTTGAACTTGTTAAGAAAAACTCAAACATCCAAGTTGATACAGTTTGACATTTCAAGCGTAATGTAACTGCAGCACAAACACTTACTTTTGCAAGTGCATTCTGGGAGTTGTTGTCTTTCATCCACATAAGCCAAAAATAAATTTTTTAGCTTTTCTCAGTCTAGAAAGCTCCAAATTCAAAAATAATTTCACAATGCTTCTAGGCCTACATAAATTTCCTATTTTAAATACACATTCATCTTTCCAGAGGTGAAGAATCCCTAAGAATAAAGTGTGTCCAAACATTCGACTCTCTCATGAAATTTCGTTGGATCGTACAGTATTACGTATGATTTGATCTTAAACAGCTTAAAACGGATGTTTTATAATGATCCACTTGTCTGTTATTGATTTCATGTGGTCCATGTCTTACAGGTCCAGGTTCAGGTTTTGGTCCAGGTGGTAAACTCTTTGGCTTTGATTTCTGGGTGATGGTGGGCATCCTAGCCGGCGGAGGAGCCCTTCTGCTTCTGCTGATCTGTGTTCTCATCATCTGTGCGTGTAAAAGCTGTCAACAACGTACGAAACGCCAAGAAGGTCAGCGACTTCTTCATCACCTCTAAAATAAATCAATGAGCAATTGTGTTTTCAACAAAAGATCAAACTGAAGCTGTTTGAGCTTGCAATTTTCCCGGGCACAATCCTCAGCGTATTTAAATGCCAACTCTTAAATACAGGCATTTAAGTCAAGTCAAGTCAAGTCACATTTATTTATATAGCGCTTTTCACAATACAGATTGTATCAAAGCAGCTTCACAGTGATGACATGAAAGTAGTACAACACAGATCAATAATAATGTTAAATATTAAATAATATAAAACTATTACATAAAATT